GACAGGCTTTAAATAATAGCTTTTTTTCGTGGGTCACATTTTTAATTTTTTAACCTATTAGATATGCAAACTTTTCAAATCTTTCTATTGTGTTATGTAGCCTCAGTATTAGGCCTTTAAGGCCCATTGACAAAATTTTTCTATGTCAAATAGTTATTGAGTTGTGGGGCTTTTTGTTAAAAAAACGAAAAGTGGTCTAAGTTACCCCGCCGGTCTAAGTTACCCCATTTTACGGTACAGATGTGTGACTTAGATTAATAGCTAAGTAGTGAAGTCCAAGGTCCAAATCATGCAGTTTTCTTGACTTTAGATGATCAACTGTTTATTTACAGAGTTATAAAAGTTAGTCAGATAATATGTCTGAAAGTTATATCAAAGTTGAAGCCACAAATGTATGTTATAATGATGGTTGTAGTTTGTAGAATAGATTTTTCCAGATGGCTAGCAACATAACTCTAAGTCAGAAGAGGAAAATGGTGTCTGTTGTCAGGTGATGTATGAGTACCTATGATATTTGTACCTATCCAAAATTCCAAACCCAAAGAACTTGAAAGAAGAATATATGGGACTGAGGAGAAACACAAGTTCACAACTGAAAGCTTGATTAATGATTTAATCATTCTGAGAACGTGAGAAGGAGGAAAAAAACTTTCAGTTTAGAAACCTGAGAAAGAGGTGAAATTGAAGTGAAGACTGCTGACAAGAAACTTCCCTTTAAAAATAAGTAACAACTTTACTTGGTCCACAGCTGCAGATGAAAAACATATAATAGAGAGCATAAGAGATGACCCATAACCTACCTCCCGTACAGCGTACATGTTATACCATTTCCCACAGGACCCACACTTATAGGATTTTGTTTCACCGTTTTGCCTGTTTACCACATCAGCAATGGAGAAAATATTTGTGAGGATAGCTAATCGTGCAGAGCTTCAGAAATCAGGATACAGCTGGTAAGTGGTAAGGGACCTTACTTAGGGATGAATCGATGAATATGAATGACAATGACATTGATGATTGACCATGACCAATTTGACCTGCAGTCAATGCAGTGATTCTAAGGTCTGAGTGATAATATCAATGGGCATCTACACAACCCAAAACAAGACCAGAGTCCGTTTGTCAAAAATTTGTTGCACTTTCGTGTAACGTCGGTAGATAAAACTAGATATGCCATATGTTGCTGGTGGTAAGGTCGGCAGTACGTAGTATATATGCCCGAACGAATATGGGATTTATAATTTATTTATTAATGACATTTATTTTAATGACATTTGAGGTACGAATGCATGGCCTTGATTAGTAATACCCCAAGTGTGGGTCAAATGTTTAAGAATCGTTGCAAGAAAACGTGTACCTGGTCAATTAGTGTGCAATTTAAATATTTTTATGATATTAAATCGAACTCTTCTTTATGGAAAACTCCTCATTTTCTCATTTATGGAAAAAATGCACTATTGTGATCGCCATGTCTGTCCGTCCGTGACCTCAAGTTATCGTCGACGAGAAAATGCGCTCTCTGTCACTCATTGCAGATTTGCAGTGAGTACTTTGTTATATTTTTTCATCCTATGCGCTTCTGCTAACGAAAACTATACACACAAATCACTTATGAACACATTCTCACTATTCTCTCTCCCCAACCGCCAATTTGGCAGTTATGAGTTTAAAAATTATCTCTTTCAATCATAAATCTATTCAAGTAACTTGTGAAATTGGATTCGAGACCGATCTAACAATACTGAACACTATAGATAGACACACCGTATTAGAAAACGGTAGCATTACTAACTGAACTATTCTGAACATAAGGCATGCTAACTCCATTGTTATCAGCTGATACTGTGTACTCAACAAAACAAACTCACAATGAATCATTAAATGTATTTTTTTAAATCTATTGAAATATGAATGTTAGAAACTTTTTTGAAAAGTATGGCTCCAACTTATCGGCCATGTTGTTAAATGTATGAGCGCGATGTAGCGACAAAACAAACTTGTTAGCTGTTCCTTCCAGTACACCATTAGACAGACAATAAGACAGGACCTGAGTAATCTCACAATTTATGCAAGCATTAACAACATTTTCCGCTCATGTTATCTTTCGCGGGCGCAGTGTATCGTTAGACTGATCTTAGACAGCCTCGTTACACACATTTTAATTATTATTAATATTGTTATATGATTAATTAATAAAATTGTTTAAATTATTTGAAACAGAAAATACATTACGTGCAATTCAATGTTATATGGCCTATACATAAATTTAAATTAATAATTGTACCGTCACTTTATTATATATAATCATAAGTTTTAAGGGCCTTTGCTCCCCTGTCCATAAAACATGATGATTTGATTCTCTTTTCCTGTAATCTTAGTGACTACCACAATGATAAGAAAATTTAAATAAAATTTGCCATATATTGTATAGTACATTCGCATGTACATTCCCTAAAGCATCAGGTGAGCATCAATTAAACGCTTATTGCAGGATTATGTTTCGACAATCATTATGATCAATCGGATCGTTAAGTTTGAATTGTCAATTAAACAACAAGCACTTAAAGTTTGATTTGAGGCAAACTGTTGTGAAATG